GAAACGTTGTGTCTGGCACCCCAGAAATAGAAACCATGGGGAAAGATGAAAGATGGCACTATCCCTGCTTACCATCGGACTTGTTGAGACTCTGGAGGCAAAGACTGTTGCAGCAGAGTCTTGCCCAGGAGGTCCAGGTCATCCAGGCCACTGGTGAAAGGAGAAGGTTTGGGGGAGGATGCACCAGGATCTGCTTTGACTGGTGGAGCTGCTGTGACAGGGGTGATACTGAGCTCGTTGCTATCTGATGACTGTAAAAAGAGCACACAGGAGAGCCCCCCCCCAGCAGGGTTGTGTATCAGCACCAACCATCAGATGCGGGACGCTTCCCTACCTACTCCATTTGTTGCTTTCACCACCCTCCCCATCCTCTGCCCTGGTTCCCAGTGTGTTACCTGGAAGCTGTTCCAGCCACTGCTGTCACCAGTCTGGGCAGGATGCGGTGCTGGGTCATTCAGGCCTGCCAGGGGTAAAAGCAAACATGAAGCTCAACCACCAAGTGGGTAAGAGCATTAAATGGGGCTCAAACAAGACACAGAAGTAGCAGGGCAGAACCATCAATGTGGTCTCCATCTCTGGCCCCCATCCTTGCCTGGGGGAGAGTCAGGAGGGCGATAGTGGGGTTTTTTCTGCCCAGAGATGCTCATTTACAGTTTAGTTCTCACTGCAACTGGCAGAGAAGTGAATACTACTGGGATGACAAACCTGGCTGGCCATGTTGTCTACTTCATGCTGTTGTACTCAAAGCACCTATCTTAGGAAACAGACACTTTGTTGGGAAAAGCAGGACTCTAGAGCCTTCTAGGATTGGCATCTCACAAGATTGCCATGCGAACAGTTCTGGAAGTCCCATGCACCTCTTGTCACCTCGTGACTTCAACTGCAAGGAGTAAACATGACAAGCTGGGGGTGATCCACCCTTGCGATCCCATCTGGGGATGGCCATTGCATCACTCTTGATCTACCTGTCAGGTCAGTTTTGCCAGAGCAAATCAGAGGGCACATCCCTGCAGGCTCTAGAAAGAGTCAGGAAAACCCCACTGGACTGAAGTTCAGAATCACAGCAGGGTCTTTCCCTCCTTTTCCCTCACATTAAGTGAGGGACACCTCATGGTCTTTCATTATTCACCTCTCCCAGAGCTCACCCTTATTCATGTTCCTGCCACAAGGAGAACCATCCATGTAGACTGACCAGAATCAGAGATAAAGAGCTTTTGCTCTGGATTCCTCACCTAAAGACATGAGTTCATCATCCAGCAGGGAGACAGAGCCAGCTTGGTCAGGCACGGGGACTGCTGAGCCACCTGCAAGGGTGGGCAAGGCCGGGTAGGAAGGGCCTGTTGCTGGAAGATCCAGGCCTGACAGATCCAGAAGTGCTGAGGTGCTGCCTGCAAAGAAGGAACAAGCTGAGACACAGAAACCTTATCCAGTCCTTATCCAGTGTGCTGAGGCCAGTTCCCATCCTTCCTCACACCTGGGAGAGGGAACTCCCCCTCTGCTCTCCCTTCCAATTCCCCCTCTTCATGCATCAGTCATCTCCACAAGCCATTTCCTCATCCCGCCAGCCCCACTTTGACCTCCTGCAAGTTTCACCTTTCCACTTCTCTCGATCTGCTCTTACATTGCAGGAAACCAGCAACAGGGTCCCTCTGCTTGACCTTCCTGTCCCCATTCCCCAAGTCTCCTCACCTCGAAGGGGACCGGCCACCGTCTCCCCATTGATCTCTTCTCCCCGTACAAGCTGCTTGTAGAGATTGATCACCTGTGTCAGATTGTCATTGGCTTGCAGGATCTCTGCTAAAATGGAATAGGCGGGAAGTAAGTTTGAAAATTGTGAAGAAACAGAGAGTGACTTTTATATCCCACGTCTGTCTGTTCCTTCAAAGCAAGGCCCAAGGAGCTGGTCACAGCCCACCGCAGAGAGCGTTTTTACAACTGTTGCTGCAGACTGCACCAGGGTACACCGACACCTCCCTGTCAGTCTCAGCAGGACAAGCTCAAGCACCCTTCCTACACTGAACTGGAGGAAGCCTGTAACACTGCTGATTGCTCCCACACACCCCTGCTTAGTGCCAAGCCACAGACTAACAAACCCAAACAGAGCGGCGGCTGCTGACAGATGCCAGGTCATGGGTAGCCCAAGCACAGATTCCGTGAAAGAAGATGGAGGGAGAAGAGGACAGAATGAGAGAGGCCAGATACGCTTACCCAGAGCTTCATCATTGTCTTCGGTGTCACTGGCGAGGCGGAAAAGCATGGGCCTCATGCGCTCACAGCGCTGATAGAGCTCCTGGGGAGAAAGGGGTGCTGACGTGAGCAGCAGGATGCTCAGCTGGGGGTGCAAAACAGGCAGGAGGAACTTGGGGGGGCATAAGGGTCACCCATCCCTGCCAAGCCCAGGGAGGATGCTGGGATGGCCTTTCCTCACCTTCATTAGGTCCTCATTGCTTTCTGTTGTCTCTCCCTTGCTGTAGTTTGTCACCATCTCTGTCAGCAGCCTCACGTTGTTGTTCACCTCCTCAATGGCATTCACCCTCTTGGAGATTTTCTCCATGCGCTTCTGGTCCTGGAGGGGAAGCACACAGGGAAGAATGTCCTTGCTCTTGTCTGCAACTTGGAGAGGAGGAAGGCCGGGCCAGCCAACGCACCAGCTCCCTGGACTAAGGCACAGAAATGCTGCCCTCAAAACAGCTCCCACCCCAGTGGAAAACTCCAGATCATCTGAGCCAGCACTTGCCAAACAGGGATGGAATTGCCGCAGATCTAGTGCTGCAGAAGGGCTTGGGCCACAGAAAGGGCCCAGAGCCATTCCTTCAAGTAGCCAAGGAATGGCAGAAATCACCAAAAGGACTCTTTAACAGCTGCTGCTGCAAAATTTTGGCCAGAAGCTCCATAAGTCTGCATGAGGACAGAGAGTCACTGCTCCCTTGGTGCCAACCATTGCCACCCAGACCATGACCCCCCAGCTCCCCTTTTCCCCAGCCACACCTCCTGAACCATCTCCTTGATGAGCTTGTTGGCAGCCCGGAGGTCCTCAGGATGGGAACTTTTCAGGAGACGAGCCAGTATCTGCAAGAGAGAAGGCACCTCTGAGCCCAAGCTGAGGGTGGCAGCCAGTCACTCTTGCAACACCAGAACCAGTGGAGTTGCCCCTGCCCCAAACCCACGTCTGGCAGAGGCAGTGGACTGCCAGCCGTTTGAAAGCCCAGCCACGAGAGCTTGTGGGCTATCAGAGACCAGGGAGAGAAGAAGTACAACTGGTCTTCCTTTTCCTGCCATGGTCCTGGTTATGCAAGATAGGCCTTTCCCTGAAGATCCCCTGCGTTCAAAACCTGCTCCTGCCTGCCCGTTACATACCATGGAGACCCTGGAGCACAGCAGGACTAGTGCCGAGAAAGAGAGAAAGGCTGGTTTATGCAGGAATCACCAGGTGATTGTAATGGACTCCTACTCAGACCTCTTCAGATGCCTCTTTGCAGGGGCAATTGGTGAAGAGGGAGAGCTCCCACTTTCTCTCCCCCTCCGTAGTCAGTGAACAGTCCCACTGGCCACCTACAAATCCTCATTTGCACACTGTGACCCATGAAGGCAAAATATATGCCCTGCAGCAAACTGGCATCACACCTCTGCTGCAGCACTAGACCCAGAGGAGCCTCATGCTTGCTTAAATGCATCAGCACTGTCAATGCAGAGCTTTAAGTGGTGACACAATTCTGATGGAAAGGCAATATAGGCTGGGTCCAGGAGGGTATAAGTAGTTGGGCAATAAGCAGATTGCAGTGCTGGGGGTGGGGAAGGGATAACAGCAGCAGCATCTAAGGCTGGGATTTAAACCTCACGGCCAGGTAACTCAGAAACCTGGAGGGTGCACAGCAGCAAACCTCCCAGAACCTGCTGGGCTAACGTCAGCGCTTCACTCTTTGCACCGTCCTGCAGCTACATGCTCCAAAGGTCAAACAGACCCATATGCCCCACCTCTGGCTGTTTCCTTTGTCACGATTTTGAGGCAGGCCCTCAGCATTCCTGTGATGCATTTTCTGAACGACCGTGTGTGGAGCAGGGGCCTTCACTCTTTCTGGATCTCCACCTCGGGCGGACAGGAGATCCTGGAGCAGGGAAGATGTTGCCCGCTGTCCCTCTCCTTGCACACAGCCCTTACCTTGGATTTCTCTTCATCATCAAAGATGATGTTCTTGGGCCGAGGGGGAGGCGGCGGAAAAGGAGCGTCGTCAGGCAGTTTTGGGTCGCACTTCACAATCCCTGCAGCAGACACCAATGGAGAGGTCAGCAGGACTCACTCGCTGCAGAATGGCACTGCCACCTAGGCCTTTTCTCCCCTAATGGCCCACCAAACCCAGCTGAGACTGTGGGTTTGCTCCCACTACCCATGATCCTGGTTTGCTTTCATGGAAGAACTGCCCTCCACTCCCAATAAATACCCTCTCTTAGAAAAATCCAGCATCAACTGCCAAAGGACTCACAGCCCTTCAGCCCCAGACCTTTCCAGTGCCCCATCTCCTGTAGGAGCAAGCAGATGTCCCCTCCAACCCATCAAGCAACTCAGACCACCAGCAACTCCCCCTGCCCAGCTAGGAGGCCCAAGACACCCGCTCCTTCACCTGCCCCTGGTGCTGAGCCAGACTGATGGATGTGCTGGGTCTGGACAAAGGAAAGGGAGAGTCTGTTTCCGATTCCACCCAGATGAAAAAAAAAAAAAAAAAAGAGGGAGGGCAAACAGTCCGTTCACCTTCCCCTTCCAGACCACTGCCTCTCACCTTGTTTCTTCAGCATCTGGTAGGCTTCCAAGATCTTCACCTCGTGAGGCAGCCCTAATGTCCAGCTGTACATCAGCTCCAGAATCTTTGACTTCACTTTTTCTGGTGTTCGGCTGCCAAGATACTAGACAAAGAGAGAAGAGGTGGCTTGAAGATGATCTGAGCCGTTGCAAGCCTGGTCTGTTCCTCTCCTCCCCTCCCCCACGAGAAGCGAGACCGTTCCCAACGGCACAAGGAGGAGGAAAGAGGAAGCAAGCAGGAAAGCTCACGAGGCCCTTGCAACACGTCCCATGCTGTGCTTGGTTTCCACCACAGGAAACCCAAGAGGTGAGAGAAATGCTCCACCAGCAGCCCCTCACCGACACGCAGGGATAGGTGGGAGGGCTCAGGCAGGTCTCTGTCGCTGTGTGAAGGAAAGGGTATTGCTAACAGAAGCTGCTTGGCAAGGCAGCCCTTCAGGAACGAGGGGACAGCAGGGCTGGGAGGGAAAGGACCGTTGAGTAATGGTCCCTGGGGCGGGGTCCAGCCCTCTGTCTCAGAGGCACTCTTCAGCACAAGTGCCTGGCACCCTTTAGAGCTACGTGAGCCCCAGATGACCAGCACCCAGCAGTGAGATGTCCAAACGTTACATCTCTCCCCCTGCCACGCAATCATCCTTCACTCGTCTCCCGTGGGTCTGCTGTGGGCACTGGTGGTAGAAACAGTCCATGTGCCACCAGAGCCCAGTGGCTTAGAGGACATTCTCTAGGGTGCCTAGCAAGAGGAATTTAGAATGCTGCTGTTACTGTCCCTGGCTATTCATCATCACAGATCACAAGCTGTGACTGGCAGATGAAGGTTTTCCTTAGTCATATTTAGTCTGAGTTCCCTTAACTCTATACTTGCTGGTGTTCACTGCCTTGACAGGCACAGCTTTTTCTGCTGCAGGGACAGTAGCATCAGCAGAGGAGCAGGTAAGGACTTGGTGCTTCAGATGGACTTGCCAGAGCACCACTGACCTGGCCTGGGCTTGCCCTCTGAGAGTGTCTCAACCAGGTTGGGACACCCCAGAGAGACACGGTCACTATGTCAAAGTTGGGGGAGGTTCCTGAGCACACGCAGCACAGACAGAGCCCAACAGACATGCAGGGAAGGTGACTCCAGGCACGCATGTGAGTGCAGTAGTCTCACAAGTGCTGGTTGCCTCCTGTCCAGCTGACCCTCAGTTTCCTGCATCAAGAATCAGCCTGGGGCAGAGGGGTGAAAGCTCACCTTCCCACCAGAAAACTCACCAGTGAACAAGGACTAAATCTCTTAGCACTGTCCTGTTTCCCCATCCCAGCGGGTGTCTGACCTTTCTGCTCAGCCACCACTTCTTCCCAAAGCCCTCCTGCCACCAAGGCTCCAGTCCCCTCCAGCATGATGCCGCGAGACCCACCTTGGGTGACACCACTTTGATGAGCTCATTGAGGAAGCGGAACTTGCCCACCTCGTCGTGGAAGCGTTTGCCACAGCTCTTCATGCAGGACTCCAGCACCTGGGGAGAGGGGCCGGGGAAGCCCCAGCATGGGGTCAGCAGCAGGTTCATGAGCCAGCTCCCTCCTCTTCCACCCTCGCCAGGCGCAGAGCCTGTGGCTATTGTCACAGCAGCATGAAGGGACACCCCCTTTCCCTCCAGGTGTCCAAGCACCCTCCCAAAGAGAAGCAAAAAGATTCTTCCTCTTTGGGCTGTCTTTGCAGAGGTGGATCAACAGCCCATGGAAGGGGATACCCTTAGAGAGCTCACAAACCCCAGGGTTTCACAGCGTGGATCCATGACACAATTAAGAATCATAGAATCATTTAGGTTGGAAAAGACCTTTAAGATCACCAAGTCCAACTGTGAACCTAGCACTGCCAAGTCCACCACAACAAAACCCAAAAAGCTTCCTATCACTTCAACAGGCTACAATCCTTCCTAGGAACAAGACCTTTCCTACCAGTCATCCTTCCTCTCTGGTGGAACCACCTTCAGCCCCCCTCCCACCTAAGTGCCCAGGTGCTCCAGGGCTTTCTCAGAGGGAATTCAAAGTTTCCTGTGCTCCTCCAGTCAAACTGGAGCACCTCCACACACTGGTCCTCCATCTAGTTCTACCAGCCTGCAGATGCCCTTACCGTGAGGGCCTGGATAGCTTCCCATTCCTGCGGAGACTGGATCTTGTGGGCAAGAAGTCGGGTAGCAAGTGGAGGACTGGAAGGAGTGAGGGGAAAAAAAAAAAAAAAAAAAAAAAAAGAAGCTTGCAAGTTTAAGGCACTGGTAAGGCACCAAGACACCTCAAAACCCTAGGGCAACCTGCCATTAGTGGTCCAGGACCCCCCACCCACCCCCGCTTTGAGGGGCTTTGTGCCTATTCAGCTCTTGGGACAAATCCATTGAATTTTACCGGCTGGGGAATCATAACGCAGGCCTGCGACTTGGAGCAGGTTGGGGAAAGGATGATGCACTTACCCCTCTAGCTCCTTATTGAGCTGCTCACAGAAAGCATTGATACCATCCCAGTCCAGGTCCTTGTTCAGGGGATTTGTTGCTTTGTCTGCGGGTGGGAGAAGGGGATGGTGAGAAGAATCTCCTTAAGCTCCCACCCTGTGGAGACGAGGGACAATACTGCTCCCGCTCCCTCCCTGCCAACTCCACCGGCTGCATCGGCGAAGGATGGCGTGAAAGGAAAGACACACTCGTGTCCACTCGTGTCCTTCCTGTAGAAGCCCTGTGCACAAACTCTCTCGCCGCCACCACCACCTCCCCACCATCAGCGCACTCTGACCCACTGTCGCTGGACGGACGCGCAGCTCCCCGCTGCGGGCTCTCCTCCGCAGACCCCAGGTGCACCCA